TGTTAACATTGTTTTCTTTTCCCTTTTTTGTTGAGACAGAGTCTCACTTTGTCACCCAGGCTAGAGTGCAGCGGCACAAACAAAGCTCACTGCAGCCTCAACCTCCCGGACTCAGGCAATCCTCTTGCCTCAGACTCCCAAGTCGCTAAGACTATAGGAGCATGCCATCATGCCCAGCTAATTTTTGTATTTTTTGTAGAGATGGGGGTTTGCCATGTTGCCCAGGCTGGTCTCAAACTCTGAGCTCAGCACTTTGGCCTCTCGGTGTGCTGGGACTATAGGCATGAGGCACCATACTGGGTCTATTATTGCTTTTTAAATTCATTTTTTTCCTTTTTCTTGATGTTCTTTGGGGGATTTTTTTTTTTTTTTTTTTTTGAGACAGGGTCTTGCTCTGTCACTTAGGCTGGAGTACAGTGGCACAATCGTAGCTTACTGCTCAGTAGTTGGGACCACAGGCATGCACCACCATGGCCAGCTAATATTTTTTATTTTTTGTAGAGGTAAGCTATCCTGTGTTGCCGGGTTTGTCTCAAACTCCTGACCTCAGCAATACTCTCGCCTCAGCCTTCCACTGGGAGGTGTGAGCCACTGCACCCAACCATTTACTTTCTGATTGTTGTAATGAGTACAAATTTTATTTATACTGATTTATTTACTCATTTTTGAGACCAGATCTTCCTCTGCTGCCTAGGCTGGCATTCAGTGGTATGATCACAGCTTGCTGCAGCTTGGAATTCCCGGGCTCAAGCAATCCTCGTACCTCAGCCTCCCAAGTAGCTGGGACTACAAGCATGTGCCACCACACCTGGCTAATTTTTGTATTTTTTTGTAGAGACAGGGTCTTGCTATGTTGCCCAGGCTTATCTTAAATTGCTAGGCTCAACTAATCCTCTGGCTTTGGCCTCCCAAAGTACTGGGATTACAGGCATGAGCCACCATGCCTGGCTAAGTAAATGTTTTATAGAAAAACATTTTGAGGTGTTACAGCAGTATTGTGGTTGCATTTTAAAAGTGTTCTATCTTTAGAGACTGATCATAAATTATTTTTTTTTTTGAGACAGAGTTTCACTCTGTCGTCCAGGCTGGAGTGCAGTGGTATGATCTCAACTCACCGAAACCTCCACCTCCCAGGCTCAAGCGATACTCCTGCTTTAGCCTCCCAAGTAGGTGAGATTACAGGTATGTGCCACCACGCCCAGTTAATTTTTGTATTTTTAGTAGAGATGGGGTTTCACCATGTTAGCCAGGCTGGTCTCAAACTCCTGATTCCAGGTAATCTGCCCTCCTTGGCCTCCTAAAGTGCTGGGATTACAAGTGTGAGCCACTGTGCCCGACCTAATAATGAAATTTTTATGGATATGTAAATGTTGTTGGAATAAAAATGGAATCACTAGTGTTTAAAAAAATAATCCCTGATTATAAAGCCAGGGAAAGCTAGGAAGAGGAGGTTCTCATGCTTATATACCTGATAAGAATTATCACAAAAGACCCTATGAAAACCACAACCTTGCACAAAGACCATCACAACCTTATACAAGAAATATTTCTGCAAGGACTTCTGCCCTGCAACTGCTGTTCAACCTTGGACTGGCATCACCCTTGTTACTGATCTTTGTAGCCAAGAATAATTATTTTCAAACAATCATGTAACCTCATTTTTTCCTTTGAAAACATTTGTCTTCCTTTACTTCCCTGAATACCTCATAGTTCACTATGGTATGCATATTCCCATTGCAACACTATTCCCACATAAATATCTTTTTCCCTTAGACAGCCTCCCTCTGTTTGTTACTTAGGCTGGATGAAATGATATATCTGGAATTTGCTTCACAATAATCAAGGATAGGAGAAAGTAAGTGGAGACACAGAGGAAACACGATTGCTCAGGAGTGGATAAATTATGGAAGCTGAGTGATGAGTATGTGTGAATTCATTATACAAGTTTATCTGTCTTTGTACATATTTAAAATATTCCCTTTAAAAAAAAGTTTATCCGCCAGGCATGGTAGCTCGTGCCTGTAATCCCAGCACTTTGGGAGGCCAAGGCAGGCAGATCACAAGGTCAGGAGTTCAAGACCAGCCTGACCAACGTGGTGAAATCTCTACTAAAAATACAAAAATTAGCCAGGCATGGTGGTGCACACCTGTAATCCCAGCTACTCAGGAGGCTGAGGAGGCAGGAGAATCACTTGAACCTGGAAGGTGGAGGTTGCAGTGAGCCAAGATCACGCCACTGCACTCCAGCCTGGGTGACAGAGGGTGACTCTGTCTCCAAAAAAAAAACAAACAAACAAACAAAAAACGTTTTGTGTTGTCTTTATCCATGATTTCTGGAATTAACTTCTAAATCTTGTGTCTCTGCTATTCATGGTGATCCCCTCAGACTATACCTAAATTTATGCTAAAAAATATGACTCAGGATGGTGGCTGGCTAGGCTGGAAAAATCAACCCTGTAACTACAGAGTTGTGGCTCTGAGACAGGTGATGTCAGCCTGACCTCTGCAGGAGGAAGGGGAGCTAGAGATAGATTTAATCATGTAGCCAATGATTCAGTGTATAAAGAAACTGCAATAAGAACTCCAAGCACCTGAAACTTACTACATCAATGTGCTGTGAGGGTGACACAGGAGCTTCATGTTTGTAACCCTTCTGGACCTCACCTTATGTGTCTCTTCATTTGGCTTGTTCTGATTTGTATCTTTGTAATAAAACTTGAGTAGGTAGAAGGAATTCCCAAATGTATAGTCAACTGGTCAGAAGTGCAGGTGTTCTGGGAACCCTGGAGCTTACAGCTGGTGTCTAAAAGGAGAGCAGTCTTATGAGGACTGTGCCCTTAACCTGTTAAATGTGACGTAACTCTAGATAGTGTTAAAATTGTATTGTGACTGGATAGTCTTAAGTTAATAACTCCTGCCGGGCGTGGTGGCTCAAGCCTGTAATCCCAGCACTCTGGGAGGCCGAGGCGGGTGGCTCACGAGGTCGAGAGATCGAGACCATCCTGGTCAACATGGTGAAACCCCATCTCTACTAAAAATACAAAAAATTAGCTGGGCATGGTGGCACGTGCCTGTAATCCCAGCTACTCAGGAGGCTGAGGCAAGAGAATTGCTTCAACCCAGGAGGCGGAGGTTGCGGTGAGCTGAGATCGCGCCATTGCACTCCAGCCTGGGTAACAAGAGTGAAATTCCGTCTCAAAAAAAAAAAAAAAAAAAAAGTTAGTAACTCCTTTCCTGTATAAAGAGGGGATAGCAATCTCTAAGGCTAATGTAAAAATTAAATGATACAATGCATGTAAAGCACTGGACCCAATGCCTTGTTCATGGTAGATGGAAAGGCGAACATCCATGGAGGTTAAACCTCTGGCATGCCCTTCTTCATGTAAATTTTCTACATGAAATTATCCAGGCCAGGCACAGTGGCTCATGCCTGTAATCCCAGCACTTTGCGGGGCCGAGGCAGGAGGACTGCTTGAGCCCAGGAGTTTGAGACCAGCCTGGGTAACATGATGAAACCCTGTCTCTATTTTAAACAAAAAAGATTGAAAAAGAAATCCCAATTGAAATAAACAATGAGAATTGGAGGTTTGTTGGTGGAAATGCTAGGTTGAAGATAGAGGTATTATTTTAGGGCTCAGGTGTGGTAGATGTAGTGAGTAAAGAGGCAATGAGAAAAATGTGGGGCTACTGATAGGAGAGGAGCCCTAGGGTGGGAAAGAGGCACTCTAGGGAGGTGAATAAGCCAAAAACTAAAGGGGCAGGGGCTCACTTTGATGCTGTGTAAGGGACCTGATGATGCCATTGTACCTGGGCAGTCCTGAGGGGAACAATTAAGAGAAAAGAAAATTTCTGGCTGGGCATGGTGGCTCACACCTGTAATCCCAGCACTTTGGGAGGCTGAGGCGGGGGAATCATGAGTTCAGGAGTTCAAGACCAGCCTGAGCAACATGGTAGCAACATCTCTGCTGAAAATATAAAAATTAGCCGGGTGTGGTGGCTCATGCCTGAAATCCCAGCTACTCAGGAGGGAGAGGCAGGAGAATTGATTGAACCCTGGAGGCAGAGGTTGCAGTAAGCCGATACTGTGCCATTGTACTCCAGCCTGGGCGACACAGCAAGACTCCATCTTAAAAGAAAAAAAGAACATTCCTTTGTTCCCCAAAATGACAGCAGCAAGAAAAAAGGTAAAGTCCTTTTATTATTTTTTTATTTATTATATATATTTTTTGACACAGAGTTTTCACTCTTGTTGTCCAGGCTGGAGTGAGGTGGCTCGATCTTGACTCACCACAACCTCTGCATCTTGGGTTCAAGCGATTCTCCTGCCTCAGCCTCCTGAGTAGCTGGGATTACAGGCGCATGCCACCACGCCTGGCTAATTTTGTATTTTTTAGTAGAAATGGGGTATCTCTATGTTGGTCAGGCTGGTCTCAAACTCCTGACGTCCGATGATGCATCCGCCTCAGCCTCCCAAAGTGCTGGGATTACAGGTGTGAACCACCACGCCCAAGCTTTATTTTTATTTATTTATTTTTTGAGATGAAGTTTCGCTCTTGTCACCCAGACTGGAGTGCAATGGCGTGATCTCTGCTCACTGAACCTCTGCCTCCCAGGTACAAGTGATTCTCCTGCCTCAGCCTGCTGAGTAGCTGAGATTACAGATACCTACCACATGCCCGGCTAATTTTTTATATTTTTAGTAGAGACAGGGTTTCACCATGTTGGCCAGGTTTGTCTCAAACTCCTGACCTCAGGTGATTCTCCTACTTCAGCCTCCCAAAGTGCTGTTATTACAGGCATGAGCCACCGCGCCTGCCCAGTAAATTCCTTTAGTTTACCGAGGAAGGATAAGCAGCAGGTCACGCTGTAGCCCTTAACCCTAGGGGGAAGGGGGCTTGGTCGGGATGTTTTCCAGTTTGTAGAACTTCTTGTTCTTCTGCCACTCAGCCCTTGTGTCTCCTTTCTTCTTCCAAGCCTCTCTTCCCCACCCTCCAGATTACCTGTTGTTGGTAGAAGTTGTTAGCGCTTTGTTCAAATCGTTCATCTTTGGTTTCTACAGTTTTCCCCAATTTCTGCAGCACCTGGAGATATAAGTCAGAAAGGCCCATAAGGTTATAGTCAAGTCTCTCTTACCTGTTGGCCTCATGTGACCCTGGCTTCAGCCAAGAATCGCACTTATAACTGAAGGACTGTACTCTTACTAGACCAACAGAATTAGGAATGTAACAAACTGCTGAAAAAATAATCCTGTTTTATGGTTCTTTTCAAATTAGGGATAGCTCTAGAGGGCAGGTAGTTGTGAGCTAGAGAGTATATATTCACCTAAAGCCCAGAACAAATAAGGTATATCTGGCCAGGTGCAGTGGCTCACGCTGTAATCCCAGCACTTTGGGAGACCAACAAGGGTGGATCACCTGAGATTGGGAGTTCAAGACCAGCCTGACCAACATGGAGAAGAAACCCTGTCTCTACTAAAAATACAAAATTAGCTGGGCGTGATGGTGCATGCCTGTAATCCCAGCTACTCGGGAGGCTGAGGCAGGAGAATCGCTTGGACCTGGGAAGTGGAGGTTGAGGTGAATGGAGATTGCACCATTGCACTCCAGCCTGGGCAACACAGTGAAACTCTGTCTAAAGAAAGAAAAGAAGGCCGGGCGCGGTGGCTCATGCCTGTAATCCCAGCACTTTGGGAGGCCGAGGCGGGTGGATCACGAGGTCGAGAGATCGAGACCATCCTGGTCAACATGGTGAAACCCCGTCTCTACTAAAAATACAAAAAACTAGCTGGGCGTGGTGGCGCGTGCCTGTAATCCCAGCTACTTAGGAGGCTGAGGCAGGAGAATTGCCTGAGCCCAGGAGGCAGAGGTTGCGGTGAGCTGAGATCGCGCCATTGCACTCCAGCCTGGGTAACGAGAGCGAAACTCCGTCTCAAAAAATAAAATAAGGCCGGGCGCGGTGGCTCAAGCTTGTAATCCCAGCACTTTGGGAGGCCGAGGCGGGTGGATCACAAGGTCGAGAGATCGAGACCATCCTGGTCAACTTGGTGAAACCCCGTCTCTACTAAAAATACAAAAAATTAGCTGGGCATGGTGGCGTGTGCCTGTAATCCCAGCTACTCAGGAGGCTGAGGCAGGAGAATTGCCTGAACCCAGGAGGCGGAGGTTGCGGTGAGCCGAGATCGCGCCATTGCACTCCAGCCTGGGTAACAAGAGCGAAACTCTGTCTCAAAAAAAATAAATAAATAAAATAAAATAAAATAAAAAATAAAGAAAGAAAAGAAAAGAAAGAGAAAGAAAAAAGAAAAAGAAGGAAGGAAGAAGAGAGAGAGAAAGAAAGAAGGAAGGAAGGTATATCTTTCTGAATGAATGTCATTGTTATTATTATTATTATTTTCTCTGAGAAAGGGTCTTGCTCTGTTGCTCTGACTGTAGTACGGTGGTGCAATCACAGCTTACTACAGCCTCAACCTCCCTGGGCTCAAGCAATCCTCCCACTTTGGCCTCCCCAGTAGCTGGGACCACATGTTCACACCACCACCCAGCTAATTTAAGAATATTTTCTGTAGAGACAGGGTCTCACTATATTGTTCAGGTTAGCTGAACTCCTGGGCTCAAGTGATCCTGCTGCCTCAGCCTCCCAGAGTGCTGCAATTATAGGCATGAGATGCCAGGCTGGCTGTCATCATTAATATTTAAAGTGGTTTTTTTTTTTTTTTTTTTTTTTGAAAAGGAAGGAGGAGGGCATTATATTCAAACAAGTATTAATGAGAAAAACGTAAAATGTGCATGGCTTTTAAAGGTAAAACATGAGCCTTGAAGACATTTTTTACTTGAGAGACGGTTTTCAGCTATAGCCATTGATTCCTCTAGATAGATGAGGTAAGTGAGAGGTTAGGCCAGGAACAACTCCCTCCTGAGGGCTTTTGTGGAAAGCTTTGAGAGGCCCTGATATAATGCATCTGAAACTTGGCTGGACACAAATGCTATCCATGTCTCCCGCCTCTCAACTAGAAAACCTGAGAGTCAAACCATCATACTGATGTCAGTGCTAAAGCAAAAGTCATGTGGATTAATAAGACCCAGTCTCTGTTCTCACAGGACACTCACTTATAAACAGGCAATTACATGTAGTAAGAAATCTCTGAGTCTTCTGCCTATAACCCCCATCTTGGAAGGAGATGCCATCATCCTGCCATGCCCAAGTTAGAATCCCAGGAGTTGCCTTCAACTACTTCTCCTTCATCCTCTTCATGGAATCCCTCCCCATGTCCATCTCTAGAAACCATCCTATTCCCCTAGTCTCACTGCCACAGCCTTCACTGTTTATTACCTGGCCTGCTGCAGTAGATCTACCATGCTGCTGCTTATACCCTTCTAATGGTTCCCCATTCATCTGTTCAACACATTTTTATTAAATGGCCAATATGGGCTGGGCCCAGTGGCTCACGCCTTTAATACAAGCACTTTGGGAGGTCAAAGCAGAAGGATCGCTTGAGGTCAAGAGTTTGAGAACAACTTGGCTAAAAGGGTGAAACCCTGTTTGTACTTAAAATAAATAAATAAATAAATAAATAAATAAATAAATAAATAAGCTGAGCATGGTGGGAGGCTGAGGCAGGACAATCACTTGAGCCTGGGAGGCAGAGGTTGCAGTGACCCAAGATCATACCAGCCTGGGCGACAGAGAGAAACTGTCTTACAAAAAAAAAAAAAAAAAAAAAAAAAAAAAAAAAGGCCCAATATGTTATCTTTAAGTAATGGTTCAAATCCTAGCTGTATGCAGGTCCTAAGGATCTGACCCTGCATTAAGCCTCACTTCTCATTCATACTCCTCCTCTCTGCAGGTCTCCTTTCTTAACAGTTTTTTCTCTTTTTTTTCCTGTCTTTTTTTTTTTGAGACAGAGTCTTCCTCTGTCCCCGAGGCTAGAGTGCAATGGCACTATCTCAGCTCACTACAACCTCTGCCTCCCGAGTTCAAGCGATTCTCCTGCCTCAGCCTCCAAAGTAGCTGGGATTACAGGAGCCTGCCACCACACCCAGCTAATTTTTCTATTTTTAGTATAGACTTAGTATAGACAGGGTTTCACTGTGTTAGCCAGGCTGGTCTCAAACTCCTGACCTCATAATCCGCACACCTTAGCCTCCCAAAGTGCCGGGATTACAAGCATGAGCCATCGCACCTGGCCCCCTAACACTTTTTTTTGTTTCCTGAATAAGCTAAACTGTTGTTTGTCATAGATGCTGGTCCCTTTTTCTAGAATACCTTTTCCCACCTTGTCTGCTAGGTAAGTATCTTACAAAACCCAGTTCATACCCTGTGTCTTTTGTGACACTTATCCACATCCACTTCATTCCACCGATCGATTATTATCTCCCTCCCAAATGCTTGCAACTTCTCTGTCTTGTATACGGTTCTATTATTGTTTTATTATTTCTACTTATTTGTTTATTCTCCTAAACTATAGGGTCCTTAAGGGTTAGGTACTTGCTTGGCTCATTTAGATTTCTGTGTCCAGCAACTAGATAATTAATACTTGTAACAGGAAGGAGAGAAAGACTGATATAGGAGGGGATGAATGAGTGAAGCCTTGGAGTAGGATTTTGCTAGACTGAAATAGAGTATAGGGGCCAGGCACAGTGGCTCACACCTGTAACCCCAGCACTTTGGGAGGCTGAGGCAGATGGGTCACCTGATGTCAGGAGTTTGAGACCAACCTGATCAACATGGTGAAACCCCATTTCTACTAAATACAAAAAAAATTAGCCAGGTATGGTGATGCATGCCTGCAATCCCAGCTACTTGGGAGGCTGAGGCAGGAGAACTGCCTGAACGTGGGAAGCAGAGGTTGCAGTGAGCTGAGATTGCGCCATTTTGCACTCCAGCCTGGGCAACAGAGCGAAACGCTGATTTAAAAAATAAATAAATAAATAAATAAACGGTGAGGGTAGAAAGAGGATTCCAGTTAGAGAATACAGCATCAGCAAAATCATAGGAGTACACAGCTTCACGAGCTGGTTCGGCATGGCTGTTATGGGGAGTAGTGGGGAATAAAGCTAGAAAGAGAGACTGGAGTTTCATTATGAAGGGCTTTGAATGCCATGCAAGAGTACCCAGATCTGGGGAGTGTGGCAGGCTCTGTGGAAAGACTCTGATTCATATCTCCATTCTTTTTTTTTTTTTTTTGAGACGGAGTTTCGCTCTTGTTGCCCAGGCTGGAATGCAATGGCGCAATCTCGGCTCACTGCAACCTCCGCCTCCTGGGTTCAGGCAATTCTCCTGCCTCAGCCTCCTGAGTAGCTGGGATTACAGGCACACGCCACCATGCCCAGCTAATTTTCAGTATTTTTAGTAGAGATGGGGTTTCACCATGTTGACCAGGATGGTGTCAATCTCTTGACCTTGTGATCCACCCGCCTCGGCCTCCCAAAGTGCTGGGATTACAGGCTTGAGCCACCGCGCCCGGCTCCATTCTTTTTTTTTTAAGAGAAGTCTTGCTCTGTTGCCCAGGCTGGAGTGCAGTGGTGTGATCTCAGCTCACTGCAACCTCTGCCTCCTGGTTCAAGTGATTCTCCTGCCTCAGCCTCCCAAGTAGCTGAGATTACAGGCGCCTGCCACTATGCCCGGCGAATCTTGTATTTTTAGTCGGATTTCACTATGTTGGCCAGGTTGGTCTTGAATTCCTGACCTCAGGTGATCTGCCCACCTTAGCCTTCCAAACTGCTGAGATTACAGACATAAGCCACCTCACCTGGCCAGTATCTCCATTCATAACTCAGGATGTGTCTCATTCCTGGAGCTCTTGCTGTAGTGGTTAAGATCAAGCACTCCGGAGTTAGACAGATATGAACTCCTATCTTGGCCTTTCTACTTACTGACTCTTCGTCTTCAGGCAAGTCACTTAAACTTTTGAGCCTCAGTTTACAGAGCCCCCTGTCTCCCATTAAGATAATATTTATGTCCTAGAGTTGTTAGGAGATTAAATGCTATTTGGCACGTAAATTGCTTTCTCAGTGCTGCTCCACAGAAAGCCCTCAATATATACTCACTGTCATTATGTTTAGTTTTGCTTCCTTGCCTGTAA